TCTCTTCTGCATCACCTCTTTTGATGATGCTGTTCATGTACGTGACATAGTCCTTTCTGTGTTTTTCATCCTGATTGAGTCTGCTTTCAGCAAGTTGTCTGTTATTGGGCATAAGTGTCCTTTCCTTGAATGGCAATGGCATTTCGTCATGTCCATGTTCAGTCTGTGTTATGCCTTCTTCAAGTTTCTCAAGGGACATGAGATCTTCCTAAGACACAGTTTTTTCATTTCTCTCAGTTTCTCTGAAGTCCTTTTCTAGAGCACGTATTGCATCTGCAAGGGTGGATGGTTACTGTGTGACAGAGACTACTTGTGTCTGTATCATTGCCAGGCACTGAGTTACCAACTATGCTCCATCCTAAATCAGTCTGAATACCATATGGCTGATTGTCTTGAATGGTTGTGGCTGTTTCAGGTAAGTTACTTTGTGTTGCATTGTTTGTGCTCACATGACCTTGCATTTCTCTGTGTAGGCTGTTGCTGTAATTTTCATCATGAAGACAGGTTGGGTGTCTTTTATAGCAAGTTTCACAAGTGGGGCGGCGTCTGCTGTCATTAGTACTGTGCCCTTGTTTCAAACAGCCGTAACAATCCTTACTGTCTTAACATATTCTTTTCTGTTTTCTAAAGACATTTTCAGAATGTTTGGGCACTTGTAGAGTGGATGCGTCTCCTTGACATGACATGCATGAGTGTGTTTTATTCTTTGCTCTACTGTTACCTTGTTCAGTTGTGTTTGTATTAAATGCACTTGCCTTATTCCTTTAGATTTCCTTTGTGTTTCTTCTATCACCATTTGTCACCAAACTGGGAAACTCACACCCGTCCATAAGTGTCTCTGTCACATGCCTGTTCCATCTTACATTTGTCCAATCTGGTATTTTGCGTAATAGTTTCTGATTTTCTTCACAGTCATTGAGTATCTGTAATCCTTTTACACGAGCCATAGCAAGCATGCATGCATTTAGAAAGTCTGCCAAGCTCTTAGTCCATCAGCATCTTTAGACTATATTTTTGGCCAGTTAAACAGCTTCTCTCTAAATGCTTTTTGTATTACAAATGGCTGGCTGTACCTTTGATTCAGTTTTTCCCAGATATCTCTATAAGCCTCTCCATCGTTTCTGAAGAAAGTCCCTTCAAGCTGGGCCAGTCACATATCTTTTGAGGTAGTACAGTTTGATTGCTGCTGAGACGCTATTTTGTTCAATAAGAGATGTGAAAGTGGACTTCCATTCAATGAAATTTATTGGCTCACCACTGAACATTGTTGGCTCTGATGTGGGAAGTCCGTTCATTCTTATGCTATGCAGCCTGTGCACAGCTTGTGCAAGCTGACTGACACTAGGGAAAGCTGTTGGTGCAGGTAAGGTAAAAGGCGGTGCAGTCTTTCTGGGTGAGCACTCTGGGCTCACCTGTTCACTTTTCACTGACCTTGCATCATCAAGCTGTGATAACTCTCTGTTGTAGGTTTCCAACCTCGCACGAGCTGCTTCGACTTCCTTTTCAGCTCTTAAGCATTCCAACTCTTCTGTTTGAATGGCGATTTGTTTCATGTGCTCCTCTTCTAGAGTTTTTATCCTTTCCTTTCACATGTATCGGTTTTTCTCCTTACGTCAGATGAAGGTGCCATGTGACCTCTTATTTCAGTGTATTGTGTTAACAGATCATCTCTCTTTAGCTCAGCCAAAGGCAGCCAAAGGTTACCTTTTTCATCCTTCCTGTGTATCAATTCTGCCCATTGCCTTCGCCTTTCACTATTTTTCAATTTCTTTGGGGAGGGAAACGGTTTGATCAGAGGTTTGCAGTCACACAGATCTGATTCCCTTTTGCAGTTATGGAGTTCACAAACCTCCGAATCCCGTTTTCCACTGTTAGATATCCAACAACCACACAATTACGATGTGCGAATCCCATAACTAAAATATGACAATATCAGAACCAGAAACAAAAGCAATATGGTTCAGAAAACTTGAAAAGATTGGTTTTGTCCATAGACACATCCCACTGGGAAATCAAACATGGCGGTTTGATGCTCACTTTTTCAGAGGATCCTTCTCAATATGCATTGCGAGATTACTGGAAGTTCAGAATTCGGGATGCATATATTGGTGTGCTCTGAATCTTATTTTGCTTACTTAATATTTGTTCATTCATGTCTGTTAGATTTTTGTCTTGTATATTATCTCTGCTGTGTTTACTCTGCGTCTTTCTGTATACCAAGCTAACGTTTTTTACCTTCACTTCCGCTCACACAGGAAATCACCAAAATAAAAGCGTAACCTTACTATTAAACGCTATGGACTGTATGTTAAAGGTTGTATGGAGGATTTTTTTTTGTTTCAAGTTGTCAATCATAGCATTATAGAGATGCAGTAGCCTTGTAATTATGATGACCAAAAAAAAGAGAATAAAAATTCATCAACTCTGGACGTGGTGGGGCTAAACATTTGCCAATAGATAACGACACTGCCTCGTTATCTGTTAGCTGACAGGCTGTCAATCAATCTCCCTACGTTTCTAGCGTAACTGACTTGCCTGCGCGCCGCCGGTACGTGGTTTACGTACGCCTGTCACGCAGTCCACAGACGCAAGCCGCACAGACGCTGTTTACTCCACCAACGCAACAGTTCTTAGCGGCTTTTTTTTACCTATATCTTCCTCGCAGTTAGCACAAAGTTTGTTGCAATGGCAGACAAGAATCCAGGAGCAGTTAACCACAAAAGAAAGTCTGTTTTTGAGGTCGCTGAAAGAAGAAGACAAGGGGAAAAGCAGCGAAGCCAAACTAAGGTGATTCTTGAAGATTCATTCCAGCGATGGCGCGACTGAAGCAGACGCAGGGTCTAAAGACTGACGCACTGGTCGCCAAATGACTCCTGGACAGGTCACTTCTGCTTATTATGAAAACGTACTTTATTTCCAAGAGCTACACAAAAATTTTTCAGGACATGAAAGCGATATCCTATGTCTGAAAACGTAATTTTCAAGGCAAAGAAAGAGTCCGCTTGCTGCTGCGTGTTGTAGCTAGTTCATTCGCACGGAATCTCCGCGCAACCTTCTCTGCACCCCTTTCCTGCTCCTGTCCCCGCTGCCCGCTCCGCTCTTCCCCTGCTCCTCACTTCTCCGGGCACGGAATCTCCGCGCACCGCTCCCCTCTCCTCTCTCCTCTCTCTCCCCGCTCCGCTCTTCTCCCTGCTCCTCACTTCTCGCCCGCGAACGAAATGTCCGCACACCCGCTCCCCCCGCTCCTCACTTCTCCGCCTTGCCTAACCAACACTGTAGTTAGTTGTTTACAAGTCATGTGCAGCGCACCGGCTGTAAACAAACCTGTTTCTGGCGTAAAGAGGAGGCGGGAGAAGGCGTTTCTACGTAGGGAGCTGTAGGGGAGGGGGGGTGGTTTCACGCATGCGCAACATTTGAAAAAGAACAAACAGTCGCTGGATTTCTCGTTCCTTGGAAAATCCTCTATACAACCTTTAATGTATATAAGAGCTAACTTGACATGTACAGCAGGACTGGGATAAAATAAATATAATTTTAATGACCATGTGTGGGCTGTGCTGTGCTGTCAGAAGCAAGAGTTTTTGTCATAAGAATACATGAGATCAGATACTCTTTTTTTGAATATGAAGGAGAGAACAATAGATATCTACTGTACCACCAAAATTAGAAAAGAGTTTGGTAGCGATATAGATGTTATTGCTTTGCTTAGAATGTTCCTCAATATGCTATTAAAGATTTGCAGCAGTCTTGGTAAATGGTCACATTTTTCTATAGCGCTTTTCCACCTTCAAGGTGGTCAAAGTGCTTTACAACAAGGAACCACTCACCCATTCACACACACATTCACACACCAGTGTACGCAGACACTGTGGACAAGGTGGGTTACGTGTCTTGCCCAAGGACACAATGGCAGCATTCATCTGTGTGAGCTGGAATCACAACCAGCCAACCTGTGGGTCAGTGGATCTGACCACTCAACCTGTGATGAATCGAACTGCCAACCTTCAGATCAGTGGGTGAATGCTCTACCAACTGAGCTACTGGCACTCCCAATTCTCTTTTCAATGTGGTTGTTTTTAGTGCTCAGAAATACAGTGAAAAACATGTATTGTTACTGTGAGCTGGTTCGCCTCTCCATAGACTGGAGGAAGCACTGGTCTGGAGGAAAGCCCATCATCAGGGAAACCCACCAAGTGCTGCTGCAATAACTCAGCCAGAGAGTCTGGGGGAGGGGAAAGTGCTGATGGGAGTTTTCCTCTGCATGTGCCTGTGCTGTGAGCAGAGCTTACAAAGCACGTTGTACAGCAAAGCCATTTTACCGGAGGCATTGTGTGTGAAGTCCCACACTTTTACATCAGATGCTGACAGCACTGTTCCCTCCAATGTACACATATGGATGTACAGTAAATGGAGAAAAAAAATCACATTAAACAAATCTATCTATGAAACAAGTTCTCATTAGTAGAGGTGATGTATCTAAAAATATATAATATGGCAATTCATGTTTTGGAGATACGTAAAATTACAATACTGACGTATAATAGAGATAGACAAACCTATTGGTTAGCCGATATATCATGGTAACATTTGATTTTCAACTACTGGCCTTCAAAATACAGCATAGACTGATATTCTTGACTGATCTTATCGGCTACGCTTGCTCTGGATTCTAAACAATTATTGATCAATCTCTAATCCCCAGTTAAGCCCTATAATTTTGATAATTTTCATATTTTTATTTAAATATGTATCACTGTATCATCAACATTGTGAAGCAATTCTGTTTTAGTCTCAAATGTGACTTTATGTATAACTGACTCTCCCCTCACTACATGCTCTATAACTTTATGATAAAACTTCAGCTCAACACATTGTGAGGCTAAAATGAAACACAGCGTCGACCAAAGCTTGTTATCTCCCGTAATCTTAACAGCTTCAACATTCAGTGCTTTGATGTTGTGCTCATTCTGTCTAACTTCAGCCCTCCTCTGTTCCTACAGGACTTGGGACTCCAGGGAACGTCACTCAATGATATTTTGTACAAGAATGCGGCTTTCCTCAACCTGGTGGACCCCATCTCCCATGAACTACTGCTCAGTCTGGCCAGGGATTTGCAGTGTCCCAAAAGGGTATGACTGCTTTATGTTTTGTTTTTGTTTTTACACTGGTGTAAAACTGGTGTAACATTTTTTGTAACATTTGTAACATTAAAAACAAGTGCTCTGGTATGTGATGTGATTGGAACATTTGGATTATTAAGTCCATTAAGTTACTAAATCCAATTGAATTTTTGTGAAAGGAACATTTACCCCTGGATTACAAATGACATGATTTGTGACAAAGGCTCTGGTTTATTATACATCATTTGTATATATATTTGTGTTTATTTGGAAAAGCAAGAAGCAACATGACCTTGATGTTCTGTGGCTGTAGTTAACATGTACTCCTGCTTCTAAAACTACATTAACATAATTAACACTATTCATAAGACTACAACTTGTAAAATGGATTGCCTAAAAAGACCACAAAATACTCATTGACCATGCTGACCTTTGATGCAGAGGTGAGGATGATGCTCCAGCCAAAGCTGGGGTTGTGTCTCTCAGACCCTGTGCTGAAGAGCACAGAGGTGTGGGAGGAGCAGATGTGCTGGGGCCAGTGTCACATTAGCAAAATTGGGCTGATGCTAAAGGCAGCTGCAAACAGACCCAGGGGGCAGACTCATGATACTGGGAGACAGGCCACACACGGGTCAGGACCAGACAGAGAAGCAGGTGCCAAATGATGTTTGTATTAGACTTATATTCTTTTATTGAGAGGTAACATTTTTATAATGAATAGGTGCTACATTCCTGTATTTTCAACTTTATTGATACTTTAATGGGCTTTGTGGTTTCTATAAACACCATTGTTATTCATCTATCCAGCAGTTAAGGACCCATGTGGCATGGCATACAAATCAGGAAATTGCAGTTTAATGTTCCAAAGAGTCTTTAAGGATCAGCCAGAGAGTGAGCCAGGGACTGTGGCAGCTAGTGCCAGACTGGACTTATCACTTTAAGAAAAAAGCATCTCTGATAAGTGAGTGCAGTTTGGTGCAGATGATTATTGACTGAGAAAGAGTCATCTTACCTGGGTTTGTGGGGGAGGAAAGCCCTTCAGGAAGAGGAGGATAGTCTAGCTTTAAGCAGGTGACCTGGGGTGTCAAAAATAACCCTATAGAGTCAAGGCATTTGATCACAGAACAGTACTGTCACAGAGATACTAGTCTGATTCAAACATAAATGCTGATATACTTTATATAGATTTCTACAAGTAAATTAATGATTTTGTTTGGATTTGTGTAGTATTTTATTTTACAAAAAGGACTAGTCTTGCCCTATCCTACTAATATAGTGTCCAAACTTGGTTATGAGCTTGCTAGTTCTTGGGTAAATTCTTGATCATTGTAGTCATAAAGGTCTGTACATAAACTATTTGACTTGCTTGTAATGGCAACATCTTTGCACAGTTTTTAGTTATTTATTTAGAGCATAATCAAAATACAACCACAATTTGACTTTGTCTTGTCTACAAAGTAGCCTAGAACTTATGTTGTTGAATAATTAAATGAAAAAGATACACTAAATTGGGTCTAAAATCCAGACGTAGTCCTTAACCATAGAGCAAAAAAACACTAATTGGGGACTTAAACCTACATAAAACAAAGCTCAGTCTTTTACATTACGTGTCAGTCCGCACACAAAGTGAAGGCAGCCGTGTGAATGGTTAATCGTCTTTAGGTAAATTGCTTCCGTGTCTTTCTCCTCTCTCCATGTTGTTGTGTTGTACCATTAATTAGATTTCCCTTCACAAAGTAAATCAAAGTCTCCAGCAGAGGAAGCAGAGGAAGGAGAGAGAGTTGCCTGGGAGGGAGGGGGCAGAAGTATTGTAAAAAGTGGCTGAAATATGTCATTTGTAAACATCCATCCATCTGTGGCATTCATAAATCACATCATATTTAGTCATGTTTATTTTTATGCTGTTATTTTTAGGCATGTTTATATTTAGGCATCACTTTATTTATTGGACTTGAACTTGCCTCACAAAGCTCTGTTCCACCATTTATCACTCTTCCAAAACTTTGATGGATGGATGGATTTCCCACTATGTAAAGTAGTGCTATAAAACTCATCTCACATTAGTAAAGATTATTTCAGAGTTTTCTGAATTAGGGCTACATAATAAATCTCATTCAAACTGAAATTTGAGTTAGCACAGTTATCAAGGCTGCAATTATTTAGATAGAATGTCATAAAAACATTAAAATATATAGTCTTTGTTTTGCCTGAATAGTTTAGACTTCTACAAACATGAAATTGAAATTGAAATTTTTGTGTTGTTGTGGTTAATGCTCCTGCCCATCCTATGGACAGAAGAATCAAACCGCAATACATGCATCCCGAATTTCGGATTTACGGTCATCGCACAATACATACTGGGAAGGGTCCTCCGAAAAGTGAGCATCATACTGCCATGTTTGATTTCTCAGTGGGATGCATCTATTGTCAAAGCCAATCTTTTCAAGTCTTTTGAACCATATCGCCTTTGTTTCTGGTTCTGATATTGTCATATTTTAGTTATGGGATTTGGGCATCATAAGTCTGTGGTTGGTGGATGTCCCAACAGCGGAAAACGGCTCGAGAAATGGGCTTTGGAAGTTTGCAAACTCCATAAATGCAAAATGGAATCAGATCTGTGTAACTGCAAACCTCCATTCAAACTGTTTTCCTTCCCAACGGAATTGAAAAATAGTGAAAGGCGAAGGTGATGGGTAGTATTGACACAGGAAGAATGAAAAAAGTAACCTTTGGCTGCCTAAGAAATCATCCCGAATTTGCAGCAAATATTTTGTGTGGAGTGCCAACAAAGTAAAATCCTGTTTGTTAAGCGAGAGGTACAGAAGACAAACAGGCTGAGCTAGCACTTTCTTCTTCAACTGGCTTCACAGCAACATCATGTCTTTGTCACTTTGCAGTGGAAGGTGTTCCTTGGAGAACAGCAGGTGCCTTTCGCTTTGGCGTTGACTTTTTAAATTCGTAACCAAGGTTGAGGGAGGGATCAGGATTTTGCTTTGATGGCGTACAAAATGTTTGCCGCAAACTCGGGATGCTTTCTAAGCCAAAAGTTACCTTTTTTGTCCTCCTGTGGATCAGTACTGCCCATCGCCTTCGCCTTTCACTATTTTTCAATTCCACTGGGAAGGGAAACAGTTTGAATGGAGGATTGACAATAGAAACATCCCATTGGGAAATCAAACATGGAGGTCTGATGCTCACTTTTTCAGTGGGTCCTTCCTAGTATGCATTGTGCGATGACCGGAAGTCTGAAATTCAAGATGCATGTATACAGAAAAATTGCAATTATTTTTTTTCCCCCAAAACCGTGCAGCTGGATCTAATGTCTTTTCTACCTGCAAAGATGAGACAATATTGTGATATTGTGACAACCAAGTCATCCTCACATGCACTGCAGCTAACCACTATACACCACCTAGTTTTATCGGAGTTGTATCAAAGAAATATGATGTATCTTTTGTATTGCAGGAGACAGATTCTTTCAAGTCCACCAATAAGATCTGCCGACAGCTGATCTACCACCTGACGCCTCACTCCAAGTGGAGCAGACAGAGCGTGCCCAGGAGGAAGTCTCAGGCCTGGTGAGTGTCATCACTGACTGCACAGTGCCCAGTGCGCTCACATCTATCCTCTGCTCAAACAGCTAACAGACACAGGCTAACAGACACAGGCTAACAGACACAGGCTAACAGACACAGGCTAACAGGCTGAGCATAACAGACAGAGGATAAAAGATTGAGGTGAACACAATGAGGCAGTACAATAGTACATTCTTATAGTACAGGTAATTAGTTACTATCAAAGCAGACATTAACTAAATGACACATTTCATCATGAATCAAATGTCAGCATAGATTGACATTTAAATAAACTAATTATGAACAAATGATATGTTTTCAGTTTTGTCTCACACACTTGTTAAGATCATATAAGGCCACATTTATCATGGGACATTTCTTCAGTGATGAAGCTGTTCGGGCACTCATTAGATAAGATGAAAAGACTTTACTGTTTCACTTCTGCAGGAAATTAGAAGTTAAACCTAAATTGCATTTTCACATCACTATCAGGACACATTAGGACAGCAGTAGACAGAATGTGCAGGAGGAAGGCCTGATGCAACCAGAGGCCCCACAGGTCTTCTGCAGTCTGGACCCAGTGTACTTGGACCATTCAGTCTGATGTGTCTCTTGTCTTCTGGAGGAGGAAGAGCAGAATGGGCCTTACATCTGATTGGTTGAAAGTCCTGTCCTGCAGAGTGAGAACCCATACTGAGAACTACAAAACTATTACAGGAAAATGAGGTTCACAGAGCATATACATTCACACCCAAAAGCAGTTTATATAACTTGAAACAGCTAAATTAATAGAGGAATTCCACACATTTGAGAAATGTATATTTTCTATTTAAATGATTTCAATATAATCTTGAATCATTTGCAGCTCTTATTATTACTGGAGTTTTCATTGAAACATGCGCCATACCTAATCAGTGGCAGGAGTCTGGGACAGCACCTCCAGCTCAGTGTGGGCTTTACTTTGTCATCTGCATTTGACCCATTTCATGAATCATGAGCATCTCATCAGCCAACATTTCTGTGGCCGCAGCAGTGTGTTGTGTCCTCATACAGGAGGCTGCAGATGAGAAAAGAAAATTAATATAAAACATTTTAAACAGTTTTCTCATTTTTATGGTATTAGATGTGATAGGCCTAACAGACACAGTCAGGTCGCAACTACACCAGTGTCTGCACAAATCTGTTAAATGAGCCTCATGTCCATCTTAAATCTAATCTCTGTCACAGTCAGTATTATTTACTTTCACTTTATAAAAATGCACAGATTGTAAAAAGCAGATAATGTATTCCATGAATGAAATGCATGCATGGAGGCTTATATTACGTGATTTACAAGTAAATATAAGCTTTGATAGAGTCAAACTGTGTCTTTTAATTTTAATACATGAAATAATGTGCATTTTTACCTTATCTCTGAGCTAATCCTGTCCATGAAAACGTGGCATTTCTTCCTCGTACCTTCATTAAATCACTTTTTCCTTGATAGTAAAATTAAATATATTAGTGTTTGATGGAAATCTGTCCAAATATGAAAGTCTGAGCAGACTTTTCATCACATTAGTTGCAGATTACTAGCCAAACTTTTAGCTCAAATCGTCAAGGTTCACGGAGTTAAAAACAAACTTATTTGACAGTTTTGTGTTGTTTTTTTTATTTATGATTTATTTTTTTTATTTTTTTGTTGTTTTGTATTTTACGTTTACAGTTGTTTAAGTGGTGATTTAATGTTAAAAGTGTGTACTCACATGTTTTCTCCGCCCTTTGGATTGGCTTTTTGCTCTGTGTATATATGTGTGAACAAATCTTATTTAATAAATATGTATTTGCGGTCAAAATATATAATTTTGTCGCCCCATAGATCTGCATAAAAGCGGAGGTGACGTGTTTCCGGTCTAGAGTGGAGCTCTACTTTCCACATGCATCTGCAGCCAGACACTCTTGCCATGGTCTGGTCCTGCAACAAAACAAGAGATACACAAACTTTAAATTGCCTGAGAATAGGTTGTGATGTTTTGCCCCTTTTACACTGTTCTTCTTGTAAAAGATGTAAAATTGTGGTATGAGATTGTCTAACCTTGGAAGATTCTTTATTATAAAAAATAGTCGTTTTACTAGTAATTAATACAGTTATTAATAGCATAAAATTAAATTTTAATCCCAGAAACTTTTAAATAGTGGTAATTAAAAATGTTTTGAAAATGACTAAAGTAGTTGGTAATTTGCTTAACAAGTTTAATTGGAAAATTAGGTATTAGGAATCACAAGTTTTTTACTTTCTATTGATCACAATTTTTGATTTGAAAATATTCCAATTTAAATCTCCGAAGTCTGAACTCTCCACCACACCACATGGTGTTACTGACAGGATTGGCTGTGATCATTAAAAATTATTTAATAATTTTTTGCAGCCCTAAGTTGATTAAAACCAAATAGTATCTGTACAAATGGCTTATTGCTCACATATACTATCTGATGCTATAAAAAACAACATGGATCTAACAGGTGAAGTTATGAAAAAAAAAAACTCTAATGAAGATCTCCAGTCTCTGTCTCCCTCAACAATTAACCCAGATTGAAAGATTTTTTGACAGCTTGAGTTCACTTCCCACTCTGGTTTGGAAATAACACTTTGCGCAGGCACAACACGCAGACTCTCCCAATGTGCTCATTAGCAAACTCTGTCTCTCACTGTTTTCACTACTGCAACCGTGACAACACAACAGCTTTTGGTGTAAACCCAGGCTTCAAAGTACACTTCCACAATACTGCAATTTTAGCATTAAAACAGTATATTCAAAATCAATTAATAGCATTCCTTCTCTTACAGTTTGCTGATATAAATTGTCAATCTATGTTATGCGCACTTAAACATGCAAGTTGAATGTAGCAATGGACCAAAGGTAAGATTTTAGAAGAGGTTCTATTTAAAGGTGCACCATGGAACTTTTATGGTTGGGAAGTCTGCTCCTGCTTGACTCCTTGGAGATGTTATTGCTTTACCTGAAATTCTCTTTTGCTAATTTTAGACATGAAAATATCATTGTTAGGTCCGAGTATCACTGTAAGGTATTTTTCTGTTGAGGTCCGTTACCTGCGTATCTCCATGGCGATGCTATTGCTTTGGTTGATGTTCCTCAACATGGTTTTAAATGTATGTGTTTATTCAATTAAATATGCAGGATTTGTGTGATAAACATTTAAGAACAAAACACAACTCCACAGGTGTTTTTGAAATTAGCTATTTTTTAAAATCTATTTTATAATGTTGTTTCCTCACAACATTATAAAACAGATTTAAAATAGCTAATATAAGCCCTTTAAGTCCTAGTTTATTTCTGGTTTAGTGATTTAATTTAAAATGTTGATCCCACTTGACCATGTACCCTCTGCTTTGTTTTTCTTACTTTTTTTGTTTTTGTTTTTTAATCCCCATTTTTTCGTTTTCATTTTTCATCCCCTGAATTCAATATTACATCATTAAGATTTCATATCTTCAGCAGCCGTACCTGAAAGTTTATTGTTAATATCTCCAATGAAATTACTGCGAAGCGTCATTAGGAGAAGTTGCATGGTTACAGTCTTAATAAAAGCTTTATTGATTTCCTCATCAGAATCTAATTGCCTGGCTTTATAATCTTTATCTTTCTGCTGTACTGGACAAAAAAACACACTTTCCTGACTATTTTAAAACGCATTTCTTCCCCATTGATTTTCTCCTTCTCGTCTTTTCCTGTGGGCTTATTTTTTTCTCTTCTTACTTCTCTCCTTCTTCTTGTGAGAGTCCATTTTGTTCAACAGTTGCCACACACACACAGTGCGCTCTGCAGTTTGAGTGGAGGCTCTAGGGAAACACTGTCAGACACAGACAAAAACGGGGGGAGGTGGGATGACTGCAAAGCTGCACTATTACAAGCCACATCTCTCTCTCTCTACGCTTTGAATCGATTTAAGCTCATCAAATTGACAAACGATTGTAGATTCCTGCACATGCACTATATCTGCATGAAACAATATTGAGGCGACTGTTTCATATATGTGCATTTTTTCAATATAGAATGCTAGGGCTGTAAAGATTTGTATGCACGACTACACTAGAGAGAAGGATTAAGAATACTGAGTAAGATGGAGTTCTGGGAGTAACTGGAAGTTTATTTTGCCTTTTCAATTTTGACAATGCTTCCCCTGTGTGAGAGTTCCCGAAAATGTTTGTTACTTAGTTGACTAAGATAATATTATTACTTAGTTGACTTAGAATGTCTTTACTACCACCTATATAATGCATGTGTCATAATATAAGCTTAATTCTGTAGCTATTACTGGTATTTATACCTCGCAAAGCTGTAGTGTCACTCATAAATTATCAGATGGGCTCATATCGCTGCGTATTTCCCAGCAGATTTTCAGACAGATACAGTAATACTGAAAAGTGTGGAGGAGTGTTAATGTTATTGTAATTGTGATTGAATTTCAGATTAATCATGCTTATATTTTTCTCGTCTCTGCTCAAATGGCTCTTCTAGCACATTTGAAAGAGATTGGACTTGGTTTGCAGATGTGGTTTGATTGCTCATCTTCCCTGTGAGGGAATAATTGGTGCAAAGCTCTCAGGAGAAACTGCTGCCACCAGCCCTCGTCGGTAAAGACAATGCTGTTTGTGCTTTCAGTCATGGAGCTTAAAAAAATATTCACAATGTTTACACTGTGACACATGAACCTGCTGCTGTCACCACATAAGAGGAAGGATGATGTCTTTAAAAGTGTGATCAGAAACTGCCTCAGGAGTTTGAGTGTGGCTTTGAGATGCTTGACCCAGGCCTGTTCAGAAAATACACACCTGATTCACAGTGATGGGAAGAATACTTTGAGAACACATTTCCCTTACAGTCAGAGTACTGTATTCTGAATATTTGGAATACTTTTAGACTTAGCCTTAGACAAACCTTATGGATCATAAGGGAAATTATTTGGACACAGGAGCTCACACATCACAATATATTATAATA